GCTGACTGTGTAAACTGCTTAGAGAGGGCTGTAAAGCACTGTGAAGCGGTATATAAGTCTAAGGGTTATTGCCCTTCCTTCCTTCCTTCCTTCCTCCCTCCCTCCCTCCCTCCCTCCCTTCCCTTCCCATTCCATTCCTTCCTTCCTTCCTTCCTTCCTTCCTTCCTTCCTTCCTTCCTTCCCAGTGGTTAGAATGCAGTATTGCAGGCTAACTTTGCCCATAGCCAGGAGTTCGATCCTGACCGGCTCAAGGTTGACTCAGCCTTCCATCCTTCCGAGGTCGGTAAAATGAGGACCCAGATTGTTGGGGACAGGGAGGGGGGGCAAGAAGCTGACCCTGTAAACCGCTTAGAGAGGGCTGTCTGCACTATGAAGCGGTATATAAGTCTTAAGTGCTACTGCTCTGGCTCTTCCTTGCAGGCCGAAGGCCCCGAAACTTAACAGCAGCTGCAGCAGCCTATTGTGGGCTCAAATCCTTAGCTGAGGATTGAGTTCAACACGTTGGACACCCCTGCCCTGAATTATTAAGGGGGGACAAGTGACATGCTGGCTGGGGAATTCTGGGAGTTGAAGTCCACAGGTCTTAAAGTTGCCACGGGTGGTTGATCTAGGGCGAAATGGCTTTGAGGAGACAGCTCAGCGTGTTTTGAAGCCCCCCCCCCGGAGACCTCACAGGCTCCGTCAGCGTTTGTTCCACCACTGTCAACCCCCCCCCTTTTGCTGAATGTCTCAGCCCGGGCATGGCAGCTTGCCAACCTTCGCTACCCACCGTCTGGTTCTTTCTTCTAATCCTTTGCCTCATTAGCCAGCTGTGACCAGGGGAAGATTAATCAGGAGCGGCCTTTAATCACATCTCAGGCAATTAAGCACGCCACTTGAGCCCGAAGGAGGGACGAATGCTTCAAAAGGAGCTGGGGAGAGACGTACGGATTCGAATCCCACGCGCAGGTGGGCAGCGAGAGAGGGGGGGTCCCGACGCGCCCCCTGCTGAACAAAGCCTTCCCAAGGAGCCTAATTCTCAACCCAACCACCGCCTGTGTGTGCAGTTCACACCGGCAACTCAGTGCTCCCTCGAGCCATCTGTCAGCGTCCAGCAAGGCTGCACCCTTCGTTGTGCGGATGACCTTGGGAGACGGAAGAAGGAAGACTGGCAGCCCATCGGGATAAGAGAACACTGAGTCCAGAGCAGGAATAGGGGCGGAGAAAGCATCTCCTCCTCCCCTCCATCTCTGGAGAGTAAATCACAGAATAGCAGAGTGGGGAGGGACCTTGGGGGTCATCTAGTCCAACCCCCTGCGCCAGTAGGAGACCTTATGCCATTCCAGACAAGATCCAGTCTCTGCTTAAAAGCCTCCAGGGTTGGAGCATCCACAACTTCTGGAGGCAAGCAGTTCCACTGATTAATTGTTCTCACTGTTAGGCCATTTCTCCTTATATTCTAGGTTGCTTCTCTCCTTGGTTAGTTTCCATCCGTCGCTTCTTGTCCTGCCTTCAGGCGCTTTGGAGGATAGCTTGACTCCCTCTTCTCTGGGGCAGCCCCTGAGATACTGGAAGACTGCTATCATGTCCCCCCTCGTCCTTCTCTTCATTAAACTAGACCTTCCCAATTCCAGCAACCGTTCCTTGTATATGAATGATTGTAAGTGAAGGAGCTGGGAAGAAACAGGAGATTTTGGAAGAGAAGGCACAGCTGGGTTGAGTTGCCAGGAATTGGTTGAGTTGGTGTCTTCTTCATCCCGAGGGGAATTTCCACAGGGTGGTGGGAGGTGGAGAGAAGACAGGGGATACCTCTCTTTTAAATTCCCCAGTGCTGGAATACTGTCTCTCTCTCTCTCTCTCTCTCTGTGCCTCGTCTCAAAATCTCCCCAACTGTCGTGTTGGCCTCTGAACGCCTTCAATTTTGTGCGCAGGCAAATCGCAAAACTTCACACCGGCTTAATGAACGAGAGAGACCGCATGATCAGCCAGGCCCTAATTAAGGCAAGGGAAAAAGGCAGGTATGTATATTTTTCCTTTTTTTTTTTATTTAAAATTACAAAATCCAAAGGGGGGAAAATAAATAACCGAGGCGAGAACATTTTTTTTTTTTAAAAAAAAGTGAATTAAGAGGACGGAAAACAAAAACTCATATTATTCCCACCCACCATCCACCCAAGTTGAAAACTGGCAGCCAAGAACTAAGGAGAAACTTCCTGACAAGTTAGAACAATGAACCAGTGGAACTACTTGCCTCCAGAAGCTGTGAATGCTCCGACACTGGAAGTTTTTAAGAAGAGACTGGACAGCCGTTTGTCTGAAATGGTCTAGGGTTTCCCGCCTGAGCAGGGGGTTGGACTAGATGACCTTCAAGGTCACTTCTAACTTTATTATTATTATTATTATTATTATTATTATTATTATTATTATTATTATTATTATTATTATTATTATTATTATTATTGATGTAACATTGACAGATGCAAACCCAGATTAGCCTTTGAACTGATCAGAAACAAGAGTTGCATCTTTATCAGGGTCTTTGACGGAGGTCCTAGAGGGGAGGGGTCTCATACGCCCATCAGCTGTGGTGGCAAAGCATTCTGGGAGTTGTAGGCCAGCCCCTCCAGAAGGCATCAGGCTGTCGAGGTCTCCATATTCGGGTAGTCCTTGACCCCACACTTGACCCCAGAGGTTTTGGGTTGTAAGCGAGACGTTTGTTAAATGTGCCCCATTTTACGACCTTCCCTGCCTCGGCTGTTAAGCAAATCGCCGCAGTTGATAAGTGAGTAAGCCGGTCGTTAAGTGACCCCTGCTTCCCCATCGGCTTTGCTTCGTCAGACGGTCGCAAAAGGGGATCCCGTGATCCCGGGACGCTGCAACCGTCACAAACAGGAGTCCGTTTTGATCATGTGACCCACGGGGGGTGGCGTGCTGGAAAGGCGGTCACTCTGGAAATCGGTCCCTTTTTTTCAGTGCCGTTGCGACTTGGAACGGTCGCTAAACGAACGGTTGTAAGTTGAGAGCTACTCGCACGGCCCCTTTGAAATGCAGCCGTGAGGAGAGAGAGCGGGGATTTGGGGGTGTCTTGTCTGCCGAGCGGGAGCACTTGAGGGGTGTTATTGACCTTCCTTTCCCCCCCCCCTGCAGAGCGAGACACAAAGAGCGTCTGCAACAGAAGCGTGCCCCAGTTCTCCAGGAAGACCCCACCAAACCCCAGGACTCCGTAAACGATCCGGTTCCTTCCTCCTCAACGGCCAAGTAATCCAGTGGCAGCCAGCCCTCTTCCAGCCTGCCGGCCGAGACCCCTGGCATCACCCCTTCGGACCCCCCTTCCCCTGCTCCCCGATTCTTGTCAATAGAAGCCCCTTGTATTCTCTCTCTCTCTCTGATCCTCCTTTTCCAAGGATGTCCTGCGCCTGGTCTGGTCCAAAACAGGGAAGTGGGGTTTTTAATTGGGTGGGTGGACTGGGGGGGGCAGAATCTCCACCCACAGGCCCACGTGGGTCCCCGGTATCCTGGTTCAGAGTCTCTTCCTTCTGTCCTCCAGCTTCAAAAGATGTTGAGACTCTAGAACAGGGGTGTCAAACTGCCGGCCCGCGGGCTGGACGCGTCACGTGGAAGCCGCGCACACCCCATTGCCGGCAATGGCAAAACCGGCCCGATACGTTGCGCGACGTCACGTGACGTCGCGGGTTTGACATGCCTGCTCTAGAAAGAGTGCAGAGAAGAGCAACAAAGATGATCAGGGGACTGGAGGCTAAAACATACAAGGAACGGATGCTGGAATTGGGTATGTCTAGTTTAACGAAGAGAAGGACGAGGGGGGACATGACAGCAGTCTTCCAATATCTCAGGGGCTGCCCCAAAGAAGAGGGAGTCAAGCTATTCTCCAAAGCGCCTGAAGGCAGAACAAGAAGCAACGGATGGAAACTGATCAAGGCGAAAAGCAACCTAGAACTAAGGAGAAACTTCCTGACAGTGAGAACAATTAGCCAGTGGAACAACCTGCCTCCAGAAGCGGTGAATGCTCCAACACTGGAAGTGTCCGAAATGGTATAGGGTTTCCTGCCTGAGCAGGGGGTTGGACTAGAAGACCTCCAAGTTCCCTTCCAGATTCTATTCTGTTCTGTTCTATTTTATCAAATTTGTATGCCACCCATCTCGCCCAGGGTGACTTTAAGCGGCTTACGGAGACGGAATAAAACAAAGTATTAAAACGTGAAAGCGGTAAATAAGGGTCTTAAAATTTAAAAATGCCATTAAAATAAAAGTTGCTCTGTTTTAATGCAACAGACCCATTTAACCAGTTGCTCAGACGGGGTCACTGCTGGATCTGAAAGAAATCCCCCCCCCTTTTTTTTAGAGCTGCGTGTCAGCCAATAAGGAGAGTCTCAGTGGGACGGAAAAAGCACTCTCGACGTGCCTAAGGACACTGCCGCCACGCCCCCCCCCCCAAATCCAGATGGTGAGTTCTAGTCCCACCTTAGCTATGAGAGCTGGCTGGGTGATTTGGGGCCAATCACCAGGAGACGGGGGAGTTCTAGTCCCGCCTTAGGCCTGAAAGCCCACTGGGTGACTTTGGGCCAATCACCAGGAGAGGGTGAGTTCTAGTTCCACCTCAGGCACCAAAGCCAGTTGAGTGACTGTGCCGATCCCCCCTCTCCCTCTCCCTCCCTCCTTCTCTCCTTGCCTCTCTCTGCTTCTCCCTCCTTCTTCCTCCCTCTCCCTGCCTCTCCCTCTCTCTTTCCCTGCCTCCCTCTCCCTCCCTCTCTCTCTTCCTCCCTCCCTCCCTGCCTCTCTCTTTCTCTCCCTCTCCCTCCCTCTCTCGCTTTCTCCCTGCCTCTCCCTCCCTGCTTCTCCCTCTCTCTTCCTCCCTCTCCCTCTCTCTCCCTGCCTCCCCCTCCCTCTCTCTTCCTCTCCCTCCCTCT